AGGATTATGAACATGCTGGAAGATGTGAGCACAATTCAAAAGGTTCTTGACCGATTGGAAAGCTGGGCTACAACTAACAGGATGAAGTTCAATGCACACAAATGCAAGGTGCTACACCCTCAGGAGGAATAATCAAAAACACAAATATAAAATGGGGGACATCTAGCTGGATGGCAGCACTATGGAAAAGGACTTGGGGTCTTAGTAGACCAGACTCAAGATGAGTCTGCAGCATAATGCAGTTCCACAAAAGGCTAATGCAGTATTAGGATGCACAGGTGCAACACACAAAGTGATAATGCCTCTCTACGCAGCACTAGTTAGGCCTCATCTTATGTACTTCGTGAAATTCTATTCTTTACATTTTAAAAAAGGACATGGAGAAGTAAGAGAGGGTCCGGAGGCAGGCAACAAAGACAATCAAAAACTTGGAAGGCTAGTGATATGAGGAGAGGCTGAAGGAGTTAGGTATGTTCAGCTTACAGAAGAGGCACTTAAGACCCTGGCCCCGTTTGTGGCAGCTGCCTGGCGGGGGGCTCTGATGCCTGGACAAACCAGGAGTCCCCTCACCTGTCCCACGTGCGCCCACCTTGGAGGCCCTGGAGGGGCAGGTGAGGGAACTCCAGGCAGAGGTCAGCAGGCTGTGGGGGATCAGGGCAGTTGAGGAAGAGATTGATGGGTACTTCCCATTCTCTGCAGGACCACACACCAGAAGGGAAGACGTCACAGGAGGCAGTCGATGCAGAAGGATGGAAGACAGTCACCTCTAGATCTAGATGTTGCACTACTGGAGCAACTCCCCCAGTGCAGCTGGGAAATGGGTATGATGCCCTAGCATCACTGGGAGAGAGTACTGCAACGGAGGCAACGTCCACAGCTACCGCCAGACAGGCCGAGGCAACTGGGCAGCCAAAGGTGAAGACGTCGAGTCATCGTGGTGGGAGACTCTCCCCCTAGAAGACGGAGGGAGTTATCTGCCACCCAGATCCTACAGTATGGGAAGTATGCTGCCTGCCTGGAGCTAGGATTCGGGACGTCACAGCAAGGCTTCCAGAACTAATCAGGCTCACGGACTACTACCCCATGGTCTTCAGCCACGTTGGAACGAATGATGCGGCCCGCAGCAGTCTGGGATGGGTCATGGCTGAGTACATGGTTCTGGGGGGAGGCAGGCTTAGAGCACAAGTAGTCTGCTCATTGGTCCTCCTGGTCAGTGGACGCGGCCAGCACCACTGCAACTAAAATTGAGGAGGTCAACTCATGGCTTCCCAGCTGGTGCCACCGCGCAGGGTTCAGCTTTCTAGACCATGATCTGTACTTCCAGGATAAGACCTTGCTAGGATAGGACAGCCTACATCTCTCTTCAAAAGGTAAGAGTCTGTTCTCTTACAGGTTGGCAGACCTCCTAAACTAGCTTCGTCAGGGGACGGGGATGCCGAGTTCAGGACTAGATTGGGGAGGACAAGCCACAAACCGCACACTGGAATTGATCAGGTAAGTACCAAGGGGCCCACTAAGAATCAGGATAAGGGAATACTAATGGCACCTAGCAGGGGGCTAAGGTGTCTCTACATTAATGCTAGAAGTATGGGAAACAAGCAGGAGGAACTTGCACTCCTGCTTGCAGACAAATATTTCAACCTGCTTGGTATAATAGAAACCTGGTGGGACCCTACCCATGACTGGGCAGTGGGCATTGATGGCTACAAGCTACACAGGCAGGATAGATTGGGGAAAAAAGGCAGGGGCATTGCTCTATACATTAGGGAACAATTACAAATGATGTATATAAAGATGGGAACAGAAGAAGGGCAAATCAAAGTCCTATGGGTCAGATTACAAGGAAGTAGGGGTGAAAGGGACTTGGTAGTGGGGGTCTACTACAGACCCCCACACCAGGACAAAGAGTTAAACCTAGAATTCTTGAAACAGCTCAAGGGCAGTACACTCAAAAGACCTAGTTATAATGGAGGACCTAAATTACCCAGACATCTGCCAGGAGAAGCAGTCGGCTAGGTTTGCCCATTCACATAGTTTCTTAACCTGCATACAGGACCTGCATCTAACACAGAAGGTATGCAGTCCCACTAGGGGAGATGCCTTACTTGACTTGGTGCTGGCCACAGGGGAGAACTTGGTGGAGAATCTACAGGTACAAGGTAACCTAAGGGACAGAGACCACCAGTTGACAGAATTCACTATCCAGTGTAAGGTGGGAAAGACAACTAGTAGGGCAGTTGTGCTAGACTTCTGGAAGGCCAACTTCAATGAGCTCAGGAGATTAGTTAGGGTGGGTCTGAGGGGTAATCACAGCTGAGTTGAGAGTCCAAGAAGGGTAGGAGTTCCTCAAGGGACTGATCCTACAGGCGCAGAGGGGCACCATCCCAGAACATGCAAAGGGAGGTAAAAAAAGAGCCAAAAAACTTCTCGACTGAGCAGGGAAATCAAGGAGAGCCTTCAGAAAAGAGAAGCCTACAAGCTGTGGAAGCAAGAGGCAGCCACCAAGGAGGAGTATACCCGCTTGGCTCGCACTTGCAGGGAAGCAGCGAGGAAAGCCAAACCAGTTACAGAGCTCAAGTTGGCAACAAAGATTAAGGATAACAAAAAGTTCTTCTTTAAGTACATAGGGAGCAGGAAGAAGGCACAGGGTAACACAGGGCCACTACAGAATGGACTAGGGCAACTCGTAACTGATAGGATGGAAAAAGCAGCTGTTAAATAATTTCTTTGCTTCTGCTTCCTGGACACGGATACAAATACACCTCCCAATGAGTCTTTAGCCTGGAATGTGAGTAATAGCAATCCACCAACGGTTAGCACCGACCTAGTGAAGGGGCACTTAGAAGGGGTCAACATATTTAAGTCGGCGGGCCCCAACCATCTTCACCCAAGGGTACTAAAGGAATTGGCTGATGTCATAGCAAAACCACTGGTGCAACTGTTTGAGCGCTCATGGCACTTGGGACAGGTCCCAGAGGACTGGAAAAGGGCTAACATGGTCCCTATTTTCAGAAAAGGGAGGAAGGAGGACCTGGGTAATTACAGGCCAGTTAGCCTCACCTCTATTCTCGGCAAGACCTTAGAAAAAATCTTAAAGGATCACATTTGCAGGGGGGGCAGCAAGTCACACTATGGTAAGGGGTAACCAGCATGGGTTTATGGCAGGCAGATCCTGCCTGACTAATGACCAGGTCACAAAGTGCTTAGGATGCAGGAGTGGAAGTAGATATTATTTACCTGGATTTTAAAAAGGCTTTTGACACAGTGTCGCACCCAATTCTTATGAGCAAACTGAGTAACTGTGATGTGGATTTTTTTCACAGTAAGGTGGGTAAAAAGCTGGGTCATGGGACGCACGCAGAGAGTGGTGGTGGATGGGTTGGTTTCTCCCTGGAGAGATGTGGGCAGTGGTGTCCCCCAAGGGTCTGTCCTGGGACCAGTACAATTTACCAAGGATAAATGCAAAGTGCTGCACCTGGGGAGAAAGAATCTCCAACACACCTATAGGACTGGAAGGTACCATTCCAAGAACCACAACAGTGGAAAGAGATCTTGGAGTCCTGGTTGATGCAAAAATGAACATGAGCCGCCAGTGATGAGGTAACAAGCAAAGCTAACTGCACTCTTTCTTGCATCAGCAGGTGCATCACGAGCAGGTCCAGGGAAATGATAATTCCCCTCTATGCAGCACTGGTGAGGCCACAGAGGGAGTAGTGCATCCAGTTTTGGGTGCTGCACTTCAAGTGAGAGGCAATTTTGTGGCTGTCTACAAACTCAGTGGGGGGGGGGCGGCGGGGGACAGCAGGGAAAGGGGAGCACTGTATACCAGGGCACCCCTCAGAGTTACCAGAAATAATGGCCACAAACTGAAGGAGAACAGATTTAGATTGGACATAAGGAAGAACTTCTTTACGGTAAGGATTGCCAAAATATGGAGTGGGTTTCCAAGGGAGGTGGTGCTTTCCCCTACCTTGGAGGTGTTCAAGAAGAGATTGGATAGGCATCTGGCTGGGGTTACTTAACCCCAGCACTCTTTCTGGCCTGGAGCAGCGCTTCAGACCCGATGATCTGCCAGGTCCCTTCTCACCCTAGAAATCTACGAAAGCACATTCTCTCTCTTGCTGCAGAGAAGAGGATGTGGACCAATGGCTTGAGGTTGCAGCAAAGTAAGTTTAAATTAGATATTTGGAAAAACTTCTTCACTGTTAGGACAGTGAGGCAGTGGAATAAACTCCCTAGGGAAGTTGCGGTCTCTCCATCACTGGAGGTGTTCAAGAGGTTGGACAGCCACTGGTCAGGGGTGATCTAAGCACAAGTATGGTATGTTCTATTATGGGTATTTCCCATGGTTCTAGGCTTTGCTGGTTCCCCCCTCCTCCCCACACCCTGAGCTTTCTGTTACATGTGTTAGAGTGTTTTTGAGCCTTCCCAGAGGCACTGGGTGTTGGCTACAGCCAAGGTTGGGGCTTTGACTAGAGTATGCCAATGTTTCTGCTGGGAGCAAAGCTGGTGATTGCTGGCTATAGAGTCTTGCCCCTTGTCATTTTTGGGGACCAGAAAGGAATTTTACCCCATGGTCAGATTGGTACAAACTGTGGGGGTTTTTACCTTCATCTGTAGTGGGGGGACTAACCCTCTACATGGAATCTCTTGCATATAATATTGACAATGTTTCATAGAAGCAGGACATTGGCTGCTGTGGTTTCCCCGATTTACCTGCATCAGGTTAGGGTATTAGATCTGTGTTGTTTCAGTTTTGACAGTAGTCTGATGTAGAGTTTAGATTATGGTTTGTATGGGATGGTCTGAATAGGGCTGATCAGGCAGGGGGCTGGACTAGATGACCTCTGAAGTCCCTTCCAGCTCTTAGTTTTCTACGACTGTGCGAACACTGACTATTTTCAAAGCCAAATCCATCTTCCTGTTGGAGTTGAGATTTTAAAAGCATATACTTAATAATAAAAAGGACCAGAGGACCTACCTTATCAAAAGATGTTTTTTGCTCAGGTGGGGGAAAAGCAGCTTTTTGCTCTGGTGGTTGTGTTGCTGTAGTTTTCAACTGAGCAGTAATAGCTTGAACATGTGCCATGACAGTATTGTCTATGACTGGAGACTGGGGTTTTGGAGGTTGCTGAAAAGTCTGAAGAATCTGCTGAAGCTTAACAAGAGAGAGGAAAACTAGTTTTTGTTCAGTATTTCCACAAACATTTTCAAACTGCTATTAAGAAACTACATTACACCAGAGTTATTGGACAGACAGATATAAATAAAAAGTACACTTTGCAGGCGGTTAACTTTAAAAGCAAATGAACAGACTTTTATATAGTGATAGTCCTCATTTGTCCTCTCTTGACAGCTGAATTGGCTGCAACTTAAATTTTTTATAGTAATAAATATTTCTTGCAAAAAGAAATTCAGACACTAAATTTGTGTGCCTTTGCAACAGCAATGTAACTAGAGAGAGGGGAACAGGGTAACCACCCCAGGCACCAACTTGTGGGGGAAGGGCAAAAAAGCAGTTCCGGATGACAACTGCATAATCACACCTGCAATGGCAGTAGCAACAGGAAGTCCTTGCTGCCCCTGTGCCCCAGGCACTCTGCTGCATACCTTTGCAGTATACATTAGGAAAACACCCCTTCCCCCCATCCCAAAAAACAGACTCCCCAGTAACTTTCCACCAGTTTCACCGATTTCTGCAGTCAGGTAAATTAGTAAAATGACTGTTGCCACTGGAGAAGTCAAACAAATGTTCCACATTGTAATTTATTAGTTCCAGAGACAATCAGAAGTTTCTCTGAAAACCATACACAAAGTCATGACAACTGCAAAAGGACAGTTAGGAACAAAGTAAATGTTTGCTAAATCCAGGCTGGAAGGTTAGTTTGCTTTAATCTGGGATCTGCAAACCGAAAGGGGCACATGAATCAAGAGTAAATGAAATCTACAAAGTGTAAAAGAGAAAACCTTGAAAGAAATGGTGTTATCAAGAAAAGTTAAATGACTTAACTATGTTAAATGACATTAAGCCAAGTTAAATCTACAAACCTGACAATATGAAAAGGGTGAATTATAGGAATACATTCTTAAAGAGAAAATTTAATCCAGCAACTTGGGCAGAGAAAGCTTATGTAATACAAGGGTCACCTTTTAGTACTTAATTATCAAAGAAAAGATTGAGTGGCTGTAAGATACTCAGGTAATATTGCTACACTTCAGCAGTAAGTCACTGTCCTACAAATATTTGATGCAGTGTGCCAGGTAAAAATATAGTAAATGAAAGGTCTCTAGGTAACAAATGCAATACATTCCGTGATGCAATGACTAATCTAAAATGCAGAGTTTCCAACTGTTTTGTAGGTCATAAATTATAATATTTGGAACATGCAACTAAATGTTTCATATAATATCATTATTACATGTATAAAAAGCAAGGACAATAAAATAAGCAATCTTAACTCCTAATTGCAATACTTTCTATATCTTACATTTCTTAAAAACAATATTATTTTCTTTATATTTTGTATCTGGGCTACAGCCATGGCTTCTCCAGGTTAATTTAAGCTCAATCTTTTATATAAAAATGAATGTTAAAACTGTATCAGATACATGCATCTTACCTGCTGTCCTTGAGTTGTCTGAAACAACTGGGCTACAGCAGCAAAGGCATCAGAACTGGGCAACTGTGGCACAGTAGGTACTGAATTAGCAGTAACCTGAGGTGGCTCAGAGGGAACCTTTGCTGGAGGGGGTGGTGAACCTGAAAGAAAATTGCACTGCTGAAAAAGCAGCCCATTCCAGCTTGAGATAGCAACCGTCCACAGGTGTCATACTGAACACTTTACCTTACAATGAGAAAGACAGTCTCTTCCCTGTTTTAGGACAGAGGTTCAAGGGAGTTTACAATTACTGACATAGAAAGATTATATTGAGAAAAAAAAAAAGGGAGGGGAGGTTGTATTTCTATTTAACCCAGCCCCGACAGAATCATTCCTTGAGATTTTTCATTTACTACTCACACCTCTATATTCCATATTTATGGTCAGAAAGCTACAAATACTGTTCCACGATTGAAAAAGCCCACAAACCAAACTCCAATTCAAAATGCCAGTTAGTTTCACAGTTTGAGTGGTTGGAAGTTATCTACTCAAATGTACCAAACAGGTGTAGGACAATACACTTATAAAATCAGTTACTTGGCAAAGTTTAAAGTTAACTCTTGAACCACTGATTCAGCCAAAGATCTTAAGCTACTACGCAGTGATTTAGTTTAAGAGAGAAAACAGGATTTTCCTTATTCCTTAAATCCATTTTGAGACATCGATGAAGAAAGACTAAAAAAAGATTGTTAGAACTGCTTGCCACTATCCAAGTGATTAGCAACAATGTTTCCTGGCCCATATTGCTCATACTGCTTAAAAGGAGTCTGCAGTAGTACCAGCCAAGTCTCACAGTGAATAAATTTTACAGTCCAGGTAGAAACAATGTTACGTTCTTTAGGACATTACATTTTTCTAAGGTAAAACTAATCTCATGCTTTACTAACCATGATGAACACAGGAAATACACCAATGGGATAAAATAGAACATAATCACTGGTAAGAAAGCTTTTGGGGGGGGGGGGGG